TGTAAGGACAGTCATGTTGCAATATAGACAAAATTCTACACCATAAGAAGTGTGAATAAATCATACACTTAGCCAAAAACATCAGAGGGTTTAATATGAATTTTCCTAAAAAGACTATAGCCAAGAACACAGTTTGGCAACCTGTATGCGTAGTAAATGTTTGTTGTGGAGAAGAACACCTGACAGACAAGGGGACAGCAGCTCAGGAAGAAGACCAGGTCTTTGGAGAAGGCGTCACGTAACTCTGGGTGAATTTTTTACTTTATTTTGAGGTGACCTTTGGGAAGATGAGGCAAGTCAGGCAGAACTTCCATGAAGACTGCGAGGCTGCCATTAACAAGCAGGTCAACCTCAAACTTCACGCCAGTTATGTTTTCCTCTCAATGGTAAGGAGTTCTACTATGTAGAATTTCGGTGCTTGTTACTGAGAGCGACGCCCCTCCAGAGACGAAGTCCCAAAGCCAGGGTTTCATGGAAACCCAAAATAAAACCTGACCTTTCCTACCTAGTCCTTAGACATGGGGACAACCCCCCCCCTGTACCCCCCTTTATTAGCACTTTGTGCCTCTTATGCAAAAAACAAAACAAAAAAACACAACGCTAGGAACTCTGGCTGCGTGAGGGTGTTGTGGACTTGGTTTCTGAGCTGTGACATGCAGTAGATATTTTTATCCTTTTGCTGTAAATATGAGGCGTCACTCCCGGTAACATTAACCTAGATTTCTTATTATTTTTCTTTACTTTTGTCTTTATGAATGTATTACAGTAATAGTATTTGTTAAAAGAGTGTTTTATTTTACAGTTATTTTCTTCATATAATCTCATTTCAGTGTATTTTTTTGAGAAGTACCTTATTGATGTGTTAGGTTATGCAAGTCCTTGGGGTAATTTCTCATAAATTATCATAATGACCCCCCCCCCCCCCATTTCCAAATTCTTGGACCCGATAGCAGGGAGGGGGCAGGAAAGATATCAGGGGAATTGCAAGGTAAACTATCAGTAATATAATAACATAATGAAGATTAAGTAAATTTTAAATTTCAGAATGCTATCCAACCTTGCAATTATAATCCTTGTTTCATTGATATACATTTTAATATGTGTGAATATGTTGTCGTTTTCTAATACAAATTATATAGATTGAGTTTTGGTAACTGTTTATGAAGTGACTGTACCCTCCTGATGGTAAGTCCCTATTACAACAGCCACTCCTGGGAATTCCACGAACATCCCACTCCCACCCAATTGTCATGGACTTGCTCTCTACGCAATATTTATCACAACCTATTTTCTTAATTTCTATTGTTATTCGTTGCCTGCGCAGATTATTAAATGTGAGTGAGCATACTGTCATTACATTTTTGGATACATCATATCAAAGTATTTGGTGCACTTTTGTATTTTCATCTTATGAAGCAAATTTTACCTTTTACTACATGGCTGTGGGAACTGAAACTCTACTGAGTTAATCTTTATGGTATGGAGCTAGGGCAAATTGAAGAGAATATTCTTGAAGAGGACAAAAAGTTGCTGTGCTGGACACAAGAAATAATCTGCAGTCCACTTGGTGCTCCCGAAGTTTCAGCTCTATCTTGCCGTGCATACTGAGGTGAAGGCAATGTTTCCCGGAGGATGTTAGGGGGAAGACTCCCGCATCAACCCTCCCCTTCGGTATTGTCCAAAGGGCATGCCCAGTCACAGCAGCTCAGATTGTTTAATTAATTTTTTTACATGGAGTTAAGTCTCTGGCGAATGCAGAGGGCTGCACCCACTTGGTGCAGCCCTCTGTATATATTTACATTATGACTACACTAAGATAGGGAAAATCTAATGCCCTATCATATAGAAGGAAAAAATGACACACTGGTACATGAAATAATTTGCACAGGCAAAGGATAATGTCTTGTAATGAAGACAATAGTAAAGACACTCAGAGATAAAATAATTAGGTGGGGGGTTTGTTAATTCTGGTAGTGCCCTCAAGGTTGTTGGCTAGAGTAATAGGGACTTAGATTTCAGAGGACTGTAGTAATTTCATAAACAATTGCAAATAATTTCACTTGTATTCTGGTCATTTGCAGTGGAAATCAACATCTTCACACCTTTTATGCTGTGAATAATTGAAATGAAAATGATAATTGAAATGTTGGATGGTTGTGTGAAACAAAGAAATTACCACCAAAATGAGTCCTTTTAAATGCAGAAGTTTTGCTGAAATGTGATCTACCTTTTTGCTAAGTGCTAATTATTTAATGGATTTTGGGATGTATTTTACTGTAAAGTTTTAGATGATTTATTATAGTTATGGTATTATGAAGTATTTTTTTAAGTAGAACGATGAAATGTAGAAACTTGCTATAATAGTTCTGTTTTATTTATTGTAAAGGAAAATAATACAACCACAATATAGCACAAAGATAGTGAGAAAAGGTTTATCTTCATCAGTCTGTTCTCCTTTTTATACCATTAATCTTCATATAACATACTATCAACTTTTGAT